GCCATTTTCTTGGACCAATGTCCTGCAGCTCCTGTTCTGGCTGTAGATTACATTCATGTAGTAGCACAAGTGCAAAAGGCTTAATTGCTGTTATTGTCAAGTTTTATCATTTTTCAGGGTTATTGAAATAATATAACAGACGATGTGTGTTAGTACTTTGTAAGAGTCACAGATAATCTAAAGATTAACCAAAGAAAGTGAAATTTGATGCCTATACAATAGATACGTTAGCCAATTAGCACATGTTACTGGGTGCTTGGGCAGCCTTAAAGAAATGAAAATAAAAGTTTTAACTCGGTAACTTTGTTTAAAATGATAATTGTATCAGTTTTAAAACCATTTCCATTCAATCCTATTTCCAAGATGCATTCTGAAAAGAGAGTCCTGTCTTGCAGTCCAATCCAACCTGTAAAACAAAAATAGTTAGATAACAAGTTTTGTTTTATAGTCTAATACAATTTGAGTGGCGTTTGTTTATGCGTTTAGGAGGCAATAGCTGATAGCTGTTGGCTCTAAACAGTTATTTAAAGGTGTTTGGGTAAGTTTTTTTTTATCAATGAATGTGAATCAGCTAATAACTAGTGAAAATCTTGACAGCTACAAAAGTTAATTGTTTGGGTTAAACACTATTTTTATTTTTTATTTTTACTTTTTTATTTGTACTAATATACTTTAATAATATTCCTAAGATCTCTACAACAACCTTTCACAACTAATCTACTCACTATTTCAAAATCTATGGCCTCTTGAAATTCACTTCGCGGGACTATATTCAAGCACCACCAACCCCTTCCCCATTTCTCCCTTCCCTTTAGATGTGATAAATTGCCTATGTTCAAAGAAAAATATCTACCCACCATTCCAAATACTGTCCTTAATTTTTGAAAAAATTGTGAAAATTTGTTGAGAAAGAGGGAGAAGAAGATGAGAGCTGAGAATCATGGGAAACTACTTTTGAAAATTAGTGATTGTGACTTGTGATCGACATGAAACGGATCAATGAAGACCGATGTACTCCAGCAAAGAGAAGCAATTGTTGAGGAGAGAAAACAAGGGATCGAGGAGGGGAAGATAAAAGATGAGTAACAGATTTGCTAGAGATAAAGAAAAGAAAATTAAATATAATCCCACCTAATCCCCTGGAAAGTAAGATACAATGCACCTAGAGATAAATATCATCTCATCGCTTTGACTCTCTCAAACATTAGTTAGGATAAGATTGGACACAATATTTATTAAAGTAATCAATATCGTACCGGCATGCGTATCAATTTTGTTACTGGAACGATACATACCAGATATTGAAATTTTTCGCATATTATTTCGGATTTATCGCTATAAATATATATTTTTACAAATTAAATATCAAATTTTAAAATAAAATAAGAGATACTAATATT